ACACAAGCAATGCAAATCGCCTAATTTGGATCAAAAACAGTAGCAACTTCATTCCCTACTGCGAGCAACCTTGGCAGGACCCTCCTGAAAAAAAGTCTTGAGACTTAGGGAGGCTCGTCCTGAGTAAAACAAGCATCAATATAAATAAATAACCACACATAGGACATGCATAGTGATTTACCGTGGCTCAGTGGCTCCAGAGTTTGCATTCTCTTCTTGGAAGCCCTCTTCTCCAAAGCTCGGAGCAATCGGGCCCTGCACAAGAGTGGCGGAGGTGGCGGCAGTGGCGGAGGTGGCGGCGGCGGTGGTGGTGGTGCTGGTGGTGCTGCCGGCAGGGCTGCTGGTGGTAGCTGTCCGGAGCCACTGTTGCTTCATCTTGGCGAGGCGCTGCTCCTCCACAAGGTGCTTTTGCTCCACAAGGTGCTTTTCCTCCACGAGGTGCTTTTCCACCATGAAGCGCTCCTCGTCCTCTTGAAGTTTCACCTCAACAAGGCGCGTCTTCTCCATGAGGCGCTTCTCCTCCTCGACCCGCTTCGTGTTGGCAAAGTGCTTTACCTCGGTGAGGTAATTTACCCTGGTGAAACGCTTTTCCTGCTCCTCCAGATGCTTCTCCTTGAGACGCTTCACCTCACGAAGGCGTTTCTCCTCCATGAAGCTTGTGTAATAAAGGACTCGACCACGATGTCTGGCTTGGTGTCCTTTATTCGGTTCTTCTCTCTTAACCCGCACGGCTGTCCTTCTATAAGACTCTATACTGACACTGATACTGCTCTCCTGCAGTTTCTCCCCTCGTCGTTCTCTCAGCCTCTCTCTCCTCTCGTCGCTCTCGTAGCCTCTCCCTCACACACAGCCTCGCCGGCTGTGTTCCCCGCAGCTCCTCGTCCGCCTTCTCTCCAGCCGCCCCACCGCTGTCTTCTCTCGCAGCTCCGCTGGCTGCTCCCTTAGCTGGCCACCGCTGGCCGCCGCTGCCACCCCTTGGCTTTGCCCACGTGGCCTTACTCTGGTCCAGTCCCACTCGTTCTCCCTTCCTCTTCCGGTCTCCTCCCTTAAGAACCTTAACCTTTCCTCCCACGTCACCTAACTCCACCTCTCCGTGACGTCACATCCGGGAGGTCGCCCGCGCCCGCATTACACCACCCTCCCCCGTGGAGAAAAACCCAGCCGACCTCGGCTGAACAACACCAACAGTAATGCGGGTGAACCCGAGCGTAACACACCAAAGGACACCAAGCATGCAATATAACAGTAAGAACAATCAACACAACTCAACAATCAATAACGTAGCAGAAGCAGGCAATAAATACACAGTAAGAACAATACAACATAACAATCAACGAAACACAAGGGATTTAGAGCGTGTGCGGGTCGCCGGCCCGTCCCGGACGGTCGGCGGCCCATCCGCGGAACGGGAACGTGATTGAGTTTGAGGAGCGACAGGGTGAAATCCCCCTGTCGCTGTTGGAAGTCCACCAACGTCCCGTGTCCTTGAAGGATCAGTCTTGGGCTTGTCCCGCGGATGCGTCTGCAGCGGGGTCGGAAGGGCTGCAGGGCTCGAAGGACCCGCAGATCTGGCAGGCACCCTCCGAGCAGAGCGCCTCGTCCCCTCCGGTGTCAAGGCCGGCCTGCCTGGAACAGGTACGACAGGCGCTCTAGCAAGATCAATGGACGCAGGCGGGGGAGAGTCGGCAGCAACAGACCCCGGCAAGGCAACATTGGGAGATGATGCATCATGTAGGGGAGCAACATACGGTTTCAAGCGCGACGTGTGAACAAACCAGCGGCGAGAACCAATTTGAACACGCGCCGACTGAGGATTAGGAACCTCAATGAGGCGGACAGGCCCTCGCCAAGGTTTGTGAAATTTGGGAGAGGTACCCGGCCGCACCTGCGGGCAATGGAGCCAGGCCAGGTCCCCAACCTTCCAGGGGCACTCCCCTTTGGAACGCCGTGCGTACCTCTCATTTCGGGCCTGAGCTTTGGCCGTAGCCACACGGGCACTCTCCCGCGCCTCCGAGACCCGGCGAACAGTGTCCCGAATGTAGTCAGGAAGCGGTTTACAAGGTCCCCTCACACCGGTTCCCATCTGCACATCCATTGGCGGCACGTTTTCCCGACCATACATAAGGTAAAATGGCGAATAACCCGTAGCCGCATGAGGAGTCATCCTGTACGCCGAAAGCACCCCCGGGATGTGCAGGTCCCAATCCGATTGTTGCTCACTCACCGTGTGGCACAGCATGGCAGACAATGTCCGGTTTAGCCGCTCAACCATACCATCCGTTTGCGGATGGTATGGGGATGTCCGGACCTTCTTAGTCCCTAGGCCCGCGCATACTTCCGCCAATAATTTCGAAGAAAAATTTCGGCCCTGATCCGTAAGGAGTCTCTCCGGCGCACCCTTGTCCATAACATATCCGAACAAAAAGGCGTCGGTAATGGCCGCGGCCGATTGATCGGGCAACGGCCAGGCCATCGGCCAACGGGAGAGGTACTCAACCCCGACCAGCAAATATTTATTACCCCTCGCCGAAGGTGGGAAAGGTCCCAAAATGTCCAGTGCCACCAATTCATTGACCCGAGACACCCGAATTGACTGTAAGGGTGGCACATAAGGATGTTTAGGAGGCTTACGCCGGGCACAGTCAGGGCACGCGCGGACGTGCCCCACGACATCCGTCGACATGCCGTGCCAAAAATAATGACGTTGCAACGTCAACAAGGTCTTCTGCACACCCAGATGTAATAGCGTGTCACAATGGAGAGTTCTAATCAACTCGTATCGGAGGGACGCAGGCACCACTAGACGCCAGTGTTCCTGGAGACTTTCCCTCCACATAAGCAGACCATCTCGGACCGCGGTTTCCGGCGCACCCTCCGTAACCGGACCCCCAACCTCCACTTTGGATCGCTTCCGCAAGGACACTAACGACTCATCCATCATTTGCTCCCTTATCCAAACAGACCGTGGCAGATTCAAAACCCCATCAGTCGGCCCCGGTTCCACAGTAGCATCCGACTTCTCCACAGCCAATACCACCGGCTGAGGGGGGGGTAGGCTGGGCGCACATCTCTGCGTCCCCGACGCACATTTGCAAGGGGAGCGCTGCGGCAACCTAGAAAGTGCGTCTGCGTTCGCATGGCGCACCCCTTTACGATGGTGAATTTGAAATGAAAATTCTTGCAGCGTGTCCAACCAACGCGACAGCTGGCCGGAAGGTTGATCCATTTTAAGGGCATATTGCAAGGCCGCATGATCCGTACGTACGATAAAGGAACGGCCGTACAGGTACGGTCGAAACTGACGTAGGAAAAAAACAACGGCTAAGAGTTCCCTGCGAGTGACACAGTAGCGTGTTTCCGCGGGCGACAGGACCCGGCTACCATACGCAACGACGCGCTCTACGCCCCCTTTAGACTGAGACAACACCGCGCCAATACCTGTGTCGCTCGCATCCGTATCAAGAATGAACGGTTGATTGAAATCCGGATAATCCAATGTTGGGGCGGTAGCCAACAGATTACGCAGACTCTGAAAGGCCGCCTCTTCCGGCGGTCCCCACGCAAACTTACGTCCCTTACCCGTAAGGAGGTGCAAGGGCCTCGCGATGGTCGCAAAATTCGGTACAAATCTTCGATAATACGAGGCAAATCCCAGAAAGCGACGTACATCCCCCACGGTGACCGGAGTCGGCCAATCTCGGACGCACGCCGTTTTTTCCGGGTCCGTAGACACCCCCTCAGCACTCACGATGTGCCCCAAATAACGGACGGACCGTTGCAGTAGGTGACATTTCTTTGGTTTAAATTTCAAGTTCGCGGAGCGCATCCTCGCGAACACCGTCTCCAGCCGCCTTAAATGTTCATCAAATGTGCGGCTGAAGACGATGATATCGTCCAAATATATGAGACATGTCTCCCACTGCAACCCCGTCAAAACGAGTTCCATGAGCCTTTGAAATGTGGCAGGGGCCGCATTCAGCCCCATCGGAAGGCAGTTAAATTGAAACAACCCCTGCGGCGTACGGAATGCGGTCTTCTCCCGTGAGGGCTCGTCAAGGGGAAGCTGCCAAAATCCCGAAGAGAGGTCCAGTGTAGAGAAATACTTAGCCCCCGACAATGCGTCGAGGGAGTCGTCCATACGCGGCAGGGGATACGCATCTGCCACCGATATCTTATTCAATTTTCGAAAGTCAACACAGAATCGCAATTTGCCATCCTTTTTCTTAACCAAAACCACAGGCGCGCCCCATGGGCTGTTCGACGGCGATATAATATCCGCAGCCAACATATCCTCCACTGCCCCCCGAACGTGTTCTCGCTCGGCCGGACTCATTCGGTGCGAATTCAACCGAATAGGGGCAGCGTCGCCTGTAGCAATGTGATGGTGAAGCAATGAGGTGCGTCCCAAATCCAAATCATTGGAGCTAAACACATCGGAATACGTCAATAACAATTTATGAAGCGCACCCCGTTGATCCACAGACAGGGAAGAATTTCCGTCACATAAGCTAGCAATCCAGCGGTCATCCGAAGCCACAGGCTCGGAAACACCAGCAACCACTCCCTGGCTATGCGAACAATCGTGAGCCGTAAATGCCGTGGTGGCATGTGCCACAACCGTGCCGGCTGGGACACAGACATTTTCCGTACCCGCATTGAGCACCTGCAAAAACGGTAATTGATCTGGCCGGACGATGGTCTGCGCTCCGACCAGCGCCGATCCGGCCGTTATCGAGGCTGAAGGTGACAACAAGATCCCAACCGCTCCCAGCCGACCAGGCAGGGGCTTCCGATACCGCAGGGGAATAAGCATCTGTGAACCAGGTGGAATATCAACAGATGCCACGGATAGCGCCTGCACTTGTACGGCCGAAGCAGGTCGCCCCCAGGGCGACGGCAGAAACGAAATTTGACGGCCACCCGGCAGTTCAATACAATTCTCATTAATTTTGATCAAAATAGGCATCTTAGCCAGAAAATCAGTGCCCAATAAACAGGGAACTGCCAAGGATCTTGAAATCAACACAACGCCCGAGGCCGACACATCCCCAATAGATATTTTAGCGTCCACCTGGCCCACGATGCCCATACTACCCCCGTTCGCAGCGACGCACGACCCGTAAACCGGACGCACGGCCCCGGGTGGGATGCCTAACAGATGAAAAATGACATCCGAAATAATAGTCGCGGACGCCCCGGAATCGACCAAAATGCGCACGTCCACCCCTTGTATAGACCCCGGCACGGTGGACGAACCCGTAGCGGCCGCAACAACCCTCCGTGCCAATTTGCGCCACTGCGTCACAGAGCGACAAGGCCCCGTCGAAGGTCCCTCTTTAACAACAACACTATGACCGCACAACGAAGGTGATGGGTGAGGTGTAAAGCCTTGCCGGGTGTCTGGTGCGTGCCGACTTGCCTGTTTCGGTGGATCCTTGGGCGGCTTGGCCGGTAATGAGGCCTCCTGTTGTGGCGGACCCGGGATGCGGGCCCAGCAGTCCTTCGCGTAGTGGCCCTTCCGTCCGCAGCGGAAGCAATCGGCGTCGTTGCGCCGAAGCGCAGGCCTTGCATCGCGCCGCCCGCGTATCGGCGGTGCAGCACGAGAGGCCGGTCCACCGCGGCCTGACCATGGCACCGAGGCGGCCGTCAGCTCCTGAGGGCCCCGCTCATCCGGCACGTATACCGACTTCGTAGGGTCCCAACCCAGAGCGCCACCCTCCGCGACGGGCCCCCCTGTCCACGCCGTGACCTGTTTCCATCGTCGTAGGTTGAATTGTGCATCCAGACATTTCGCCGCCGCCCGGGAGGTGAGCTTCTCATGCCCGCACACCGGCATGGGAATCCCAAGATCCCGCGACAGCTCGAGCATCTTGCCCAAGATGAGAGGCTCGAGCAGGTCAGGCGTTGTATCTGGATACGCGGCCATAGCCAAATCAAGCACTGCACCCCTGTACGCCACAGGCGACTCCTCGGGCGCTCGTTGTCGTTGAGCGAATCGCCGATGCGCGTCGTCAGGTGGCTCGTAGGCGTCGGCCATTTCTTGAAAAACTCCATATAATGTCCTCTTCTTCTCGGCCTTAATGGAGCGAAAAAATCGAACAGATTCGTCGTCCAGAAGAGTCGGCAACACTTCCAAGGCCTCAGCATCGGTCCATCTCGCAGAACGGACCGCCGCTAAAAATCTGCAGGCGAAAGCGCTCCAGTCGCCCCCAATGGCGAATTCCTTGACCGTGGTGAGATGGCGACTCCGACTTCGCTTCACTCCGCCCTCCGCCGATGGTTCCTCCGGAGGCAAATTCAAAATGGCGTCGAATCGCGGCGTGGTCAAGATGGCGGATTCCCGCCGCGGCACGCGCAAGATGGCGGCCTCCTGCCGCGTGGCCCATGGCGCCGGGAGTGAAGAACCCGTGGCGGCCTGTGGAGCACTCTCCGCTCTCTCCGTCGCCGTGCTTGGGGTGACGAGATGACACAATTGGCCCAGGGCGTCCTTGAGAGTCTCCAGTTGCTCAGCCACCTGCAGCCATCGCCGATCAGCGTCTGATGGTGTCGGCGGCCCTGACACTGTGGCTACATCTTCCACTCCCGTCCCCGCACTCGTTTCAGCAGGGCTCTCCTCCACCACCCTGGCAGGATCCATGTTTGGAGGGAAGTCTTCGTCTTCGGACGAAGAAGCCGATGCCGGCGCTGGAACATTTTTCTTTCTCACTTGTTTCGACATGCCGTTGCACTTCCGACACCAATGTAATAAAGGACTCGACCACGATGTCTGGCTTGGTGTCCTTTATTCGGTTCTTCTCTCTTAACCCGCACGGCTGTCCTTCTATAAGACTCTATACTGACACTGATACTGCTCTCCTGCAGTTTCTCCCCTCGTCGTTCTCTCAGCCTCTCTCTCCTCTCGTCGCTCTCGTAGCCTCTCCCTCACACACAGCCTCGCCGGCTGTGTTCCCCGCAGCTCCTCGTCCGCCTTCTCTCCAGCCGCCCCACCGCTGTCTTCTCTCGCAGCTCCGCTGGCTGCTCCCTTAGCTGGCCACCGCTGGCCGCCGCTGCCACCCCTTGGCTTTGCCCACGTGGCCTTACTCTGGTCCAGTCCCACTCGTTCTCCCTTCCTCTTCCGGTCTCCTCCCTTAAGAACCTTAACCTTTCCTCCCACGTCACCTAACTCCACCTCTCCGTGACGTCACATCCGGGAGGTCGCCCGCGCCCGCATTACACTTGTCTCCTCAATGAGGCGCTTTTCCATCAGGTGTTTCACATTATTGAGGAGATTGTCTCTGAGGCACTTCTGCTGTGTGAGGTGTTTCACCCTGGCGAGGCGCTTCACTTCAATGAGGCGCTTCTCTTCAGTGATGCGCTCCACCTCCTTGAGACACTTCTCCTCCTGGAGACGCTTCACCTCTCCAAGGTACTTCACCCTGGCAAGACGCTTCTCCTCCTCCCAATGCTTCTCCTCGAGACACTTCACCTTGCGAAGACGCTTCTCATCCCTGAAGCACTTTACTTCAATGAGGTGCTTTTCAATGAGGCGGTTCTTGAGTAGATTGTCTCTGGGGCACTTCTCCTCTGTGTGCCACTTCACCCTGGCAAGGCGCTGCACCTCAATGAGGTGCTCCTTTTCCATGGTGCATTTCTCCTTCACAAGGTGCTTCTCCTGGAGACGCTTCACTCCGCTGAAGTGCTTCAACTCCCCAATGCTCCTCTGTTCGAGCAAAGATGAGCAAAGAAACATTCAGACATGCACATGCAAGCAAAAATTCATACCCACAGGCGCGTAAACATGGACGTGCTCATAAACCCAAACACAAATGCACTCACAAATCTATGTACGGATGCAAAAACTACATTTACTCATGCAAACTTGCTTAGCACATACATGAATATACACAATCACCTGATGTTAACATAACTCCTTATCCATCAATACTTTTATCACATTGTAAGTGCCCTAGCCCCTAAATAACCCAAACCCTATCAAAATACATGTTACATGCTCATATACCCTCACAAACCCCATACACGTACTTAAGGCTGTGATTGAATATGACGATTTCATGACAATTTTTTGGCAACAATCATCACAGGCAATAGTTTCCACAGAATATTCCGTTGTAAAGATCTGGATGCCCATAATCTGGACAAATATCACTGCTGCACCCATAGTGGGCAACTGGAATGGCACAGACAATTCATGTTACTTCCTGATGTCATTGTGTCTTCATTGGTAATAAATGGCTACTTCAAGAGCCTTCACATGTTTGATATGGCATGACGTTATGGCGGAGAGATGGGGTGATGGTGTTGAGAGATCGTGTTGTGATATGGAGAGCGGAAGTGGTGGAATGTTCTGGAGAGACGGTGTTATGTGATGGTATAGAGGCATGATGAGGCTCTATGATCGTGTATTGAGTTGGTGGTCGTGTGGTGTGATGAGAAAGGTGACATGGAGAGATAGTGTGGTGATGTGAGGTGTAGTGATGGTTTGGTGCGATGGTGTGGTGACATGGTGCGCTAGTATGGAGATAATGTGGTGTGTTTGACCCCCACAGACCCCATACACACCTTTGGGGAGCAATTCTCATAACTTTGTCCTGGGAAAGGGTCCACTTTATCCATAATGTCTCCCCACGTGGTCGACTGGCGCCACGACTCCCGGGCTACAGAAAAAATAAAATTAATTCAAAGGACGAGTAATAAATTAAAGAACGAAGCACATGGAGTTTCACAGAACTAATTCTGAGATCCCCGTAATTACCTCTTACCACACAACAGGAGCTGCTATTGAGAAATATTCATCACGTGGCAGTATTTTGTGAGCATGGATAGACCATCAATTCCATAAACTTGAGACCCCAGTTTAAGCAATGATGGCTGAAACTCAGATCTAAACCCACGTTCTCTGCCACACTCGATCATTACATCTTCCCATCACTACCAATCCATGTCTATTAAAAGTAATTGATGAGGGAGCCTCCTCCTCTGCATGTAAGCCCCGTGATGCAGGTATCTGGGACTTACCCTCATAATCCTCCAAGATCTCAGCCCACTTGAGTTGTCTGTCCATGTTGTTGGGAAGGAGAAATTTCTGTTTGATGTTGGAGGGCCTGGGGAGGTTGGAACAATGCTCAGATTTGTCAACCTTTTTAATCACTCATCCTCTCAATTATTACATATTCGACCACGCACTGTACCATCTACTCACTTTCGTGCCTGTTGCTTTACAGTCCACTCACTCGCTTGTTTACCCACTCACACGTATGCATCCGATCACTCTTTCATCCACCGACGCGAACATATTTATTCCAACTGACTATTGCATTAAACATAATCGCCAGACTCAACCATGATATTTAACTACTAATCCCGACAAGCATGTTCATGTACAGCCCATTTTTATTCATCGACTGCTTCAAGACGGCCCCCCTATGCCTTGTAGGTTCTTAGGTAATATGACCAAACTTAAATTAATTGTTATAACCAGAACATGACGTCGTAGGTCACTTGATGTCAGAGATACCACCCATGTGGCTGTGACATGCCAGATTGGAGACAACTATGGCAGCAGCTAGGGCCTGAACTTAAATGCAGACTCCTTCTCAATGTTAAACACAATTCAATTAATATCCATACTCTTTGGTTTTTTCGGTAAAGTCACGTAGTTAGAAATCAAATAAAACAAATCACAATGTTTCAATCGCAACACAAGCAATCGTCATCAGGTGGAACAACTACAGCAAGAAACAACCGCTGAAGAAGGCGAGAGAGCTGCCGTGGCACGAGGTTATATAGACTATATAAGTAGGGCACATTGGCGGGGCTTGAGATGGGAGGGGGGGCAGAGTAAGATCTGCGGGGTGATGGGAGAGCTAGGGGGAGAGAGAGGTGGGGGGTTGCCAATGCAGCAACAATGCCAATGAAGCAACATGCCAATGCAGCAGCAATGCCAAACGCTGGGGATGCAGGGGGATCTGCCTTGTGTTCGCGAACACAGTCCAAGACGTCGTTTTGTTTCCCCAATGTAACAGCTACAAAATCTTAAACAAACACAAGATCCAGGTCCGATTCAATACAGTACACAAAATCCGTGATCTATTCCCATCGGTGAAGGAGGTAATTCCTAACATGCAATATCCTGGAGTCTACAAACTGAGTTGTACCTGTGGTAGCAGTTCCATTGGGGAAACGAAACGACATGTCTCGGACCGTGTTCGCGAACACAAGGCAGATCTGAAACACGGCAGAACCAATACCTTTGCCGTGGCTGACCATTGTTATAATGCTGTGGGCTCGCATGATATTGTATTTTCTGAGACCAATGTACTCTGGAAACCTTCGGGCAACTATCAAAGGTTTGTTGATGAAGCCATCTAGATATATAAACATAGACATAACTTCAACCGAGAAGATGTATACAAATTGAGCAATCATTGGAAGGATGTTATTAACCAGGTAAAACCTTAACTGTTTATGGTGGTTCCATCATATTTGCCGGGTGCTGGTCTGTTTTTCTGAGTTAATTTCCCCTCGCATCCCCAGCGTTTGGCATTGCTACTGCATTGGCATTGTTGCTTCATTGGCAACCCCCCACACCTCTCTCCCCCTAGCTTTCCCGTCACCTCCGCAGATCTTACTCTGCCCCTCACCCATCTCTAGCCCTGCCCATGTACCCTACATATATAGTCTATATAACCTCGTGCCACGGCAGCTCTCTCGCCTTCATCAGCAGTTGTTTATTGCTGTAGTTGTCCCACTTGATGACGATTGCTTGTGTTGCGATCGAAACATCGTGATTTGTTTTATTTTATTTCTAACTACGTTACTTCACCGAAAGAACCAAAGAGTATGGATTCCTGCAGTCACGAAAGCTTCCAATCAGGATTCAATTCATGTCATCTCGAGCACAATTGTGCCAGCAATCAGAACACAATGACTGTAGACGTGTTATTCATATTCTGTTAAATTTAAACAGGCTAGTTATGAACATTTTAAATGCTGACTGGATTGGGCTCTAAACAATGACAGAAAAAGGGATTTCGATTTAAAACTTTCGTGACTGCAGGGATTCATCTTCTTGGTTCTTTCGGTAAAGTCACGTAGAAGGAAAATAATAAAATAATAAAAATAAAACATAATAAAATAATTCTCACGACGTTTCGGCCACAACGCAAGCATCCGTCTTCAGGTGGAGAACAGGTCTGTCAAGTAGACAGAGTCTGAATGGCACGCCCCAGGCTTGGAGCGACTATTTATGCTGGGATGGAGGGGCGAAGAGCGCTTTGACAAAATAATTTGCATATCAAGAGGAATTTAGCATATTGATGGGAAATGCAGATATGCAATTAGTACTACTTGTGAAATGCGTAGGAGGTTTGGCGAGGGGTGTAAAGTCATTATGTCCATGCATTATGCAGGATTAGCAGTATCAAAGGGAGGGAGTAAGGTTAGAATTAATAAAGGGAAGGAATGTTAATAATATGGCGCCGCAGCAACTAATATGCTTATTGACTATACATTGTCATATTACATTATATTACATTATATTTTATTCTACCCACTCAACTGTATACCACACTGCTATATATAAAATTACGATAATGTAATACCATCACCTTACCCTACATTGCTGGGGTCACAAAAAATATCTCCAAAATCCTGGTAAAACACAAGATCCAGGTCCGATTCAACACAGTACATAAAATCCGTGATCTGGTCCCGTCTGTAAAAGACGTGGTTCCAGACATACAGTACCCTGGCGTTTACAAACTAAGTTGCCTCTGTGGTAGCAGTTACATTGGAGAAACCAAACGACATGTCTCGGACCGCATCCGTGAACATAAAGCAGACTTGAAACACGGTAGGACAAACACCTCAGCCGTGGCAGATCACTGTTACAATTCAGTGGGCTCACATGATATTTACTTCTCCAAGACAGAGGTTCTCTGCAAGCCATCCAGCTACCATGAAAGATTCGTCCATGAGGCGATCCACATATACAAACATAGAGACAATTTCAACCGAGAAGATGGATTCTGGCTCAGCAATCATTGGAAGGACGTAATAAACCATTTCGGATCTTAACTGATTGTGTTCACGTTTACGGTGACTTTCACACCGCAGTCCACTCACTGACATTGACTATATATCTTGTATTCTCCACAGGGAATGGATTCTTTGTTCCGCTGCAAGCTTCCTACCACCACTCTCCCATTGACATATTTCGTTGCTTCCTCTTAGTACCTTTCACGCGACGGTCAATGGTATAGTGTATAGCATATTATATAATAATAAATAGTATTAAAGTGTAATGTTTAATACAATGTATAAGGTAATATATAGTATCGTAATTGTATAGTGTATATACAGCAGTTTGGTATACAGTTGGGTGGGTAGAATAATACATAGTGTAATATTACAATGTAAAGTCTAAAAGCATATTAGTTGCTGCGGCGCCATATTATTAACATTCCTTCCCTTTATTAATTCTAACCTTACTCCCTCCCTTTGATACTGCTAATCCTGCATAATGCATGGGCATAATGACTTTAAACCCCTCGCCAATCCTCCTACGCATTTCACAAGTAGTACTAATCGCATATCTGCATTTCCCATGAATATGCTAAATTCCTCTTGATATGCAAATTATTTTGTCAAAGCGCTCTTCGCCCCTCCATCCCAGCATAAATAGTCACTCCAAGCCTGGGGCGTGCCATTCAGACTCTGTCTACTTGACAGACCTGTTCTCCACCTAAAGAAGGCTGCTTGCGTTGTGGCCGAAACGTCGTGAGAATTATTTTATTATGTTGTATTTTTATTATTTCATTATTTTCCTTCTACATGACTTTACCGAAAGAACCAAGAAGAAGAAAAAGAGATATATCAAGGAATGCCAATTGATCTATCTAATAGTCCTAATTTGGTTGCAAAAAATCCCATTACCATCACATCAAAAGAATGGGGCTTTTGTTTGTGGTGAAAAGGTTTAAATGTATTTTTCAGACCACATATTAATTTAAAGTAACTACTTCCTGTAAAGTGTACCATGATATAGAAATAACGGTGAGATCCTCTGAAATAAAGTCAAGCACACGATCACACACTACAAAGCATAAATGAGTAATATTAACTGTGACTTATTTTCATGCCTTTTCTATGCCAACATATATCTTGCATCAATGATCAGCTGAATAAAATGACAATATACGGAGGATCTGCATTATGACAAATTTTGGAGTTAGGAACCCCGACACAATTTCCAAGTCATTAGAGTTTGCTTTTGTGTTACATATGGATTTTTTTTTATCATCTGTTATAACTTCCAACCATAACTGGAAACCAATACCACAAGCCCTCAAACTCATGTACTTAGAGGGACTCCCACATATTTGAAACCCTCAGAAACTGAACCCATGAACACCCATATAATCCTTAAACCACCCCTCTCAGGCTCACCTGTCCGAGGCGATGATGAGTAGGCTCACTACTACAAAGATGGATTTCAGTTTCATCAAAAGTTGGGCAAGTTTTAGCAACCACGATGCTAATTAATATCAGGTTGCTTTTATCTGAGAGTAGAAACACAGCCACCCATGTAGACAAATTATGCCAGTATCAGTGACACAGTTCATGTCAGAGGTACCAACCATGTAGCTGTGACATCAGATTAGAGACAACTTTGGCAGCAGCTCGGGTCTGAACTTCAAGGCAGACTCCTCCCCAATGTTGAATAACATTCCATTCATATAATTTAGGGCACATTTGTGCCAGCAATCAGAACACATTGATTGAAGACATGTTATTCATACTCTATGAGATTTAAACAGGTTAGTTATGAACGTTTTAAATGTTGACTCTTGGGGTCTCAACAAGGACAGTGACAGCAACATATCAGGGCATGCCAAGTAACCAATCTAATCGTCCTAATTTGGCTGCAGAAAATCCAAATACCAACATACCAAATATAATGAAGTTTTAGTTTGTGTTCAAAATGTACAAAAAAAATAAACAACACACATCGTCAACAGGGACGCTCACCTCGTTGAAGATTCGCTATCAAAAGGTGTCTGCTGCTGCTGCTGCCTCGTTCGCATTCCTCTGGACGATGAGCGGAGACGTGGCTATGACGTAACAGACGTGACGTCACTACCGCGAGGCCCCTCCCTCATGCGCCTGGATGGCTGGCTGGCCACGTGGTGCGGTGGTGTTGGCGGGCGTGACCGGAAACAGCAGTGGCCTGAATTCGAATCCAGGCGCCGATCGTGGTCTACACAGCGTTGGTGGGTGAGGTGAGTGATTGGGTGATTGGGTGAGTGAGTGGGTGAGTGATTGATTGAGTGAGTGGGTGAGTGAGTGGGTGATTGAGTGAGTGGGTGATTGAGTGATTGAGTCGGTGATTGAGTGAGTGGGTGAGTGATTGATTGAGTGAGTGGGTGATTGAGTGAGTGGGTGATTGAGTGAGTGGGTGGGTGAGTGGGTGGGTGAGTGAGTGAATGGGTGGGTGAGTGGGTGATTGAGTGGGTGAGTGGGTGATTGAGTGAGTGATTGAGTGGGTGATTGAGTGAGTGATTGAGTGGGTGATTGAGGGAGTGAGTGAGTGTGGAGATTGTGCATTGTCTTACTGATCTACACAGCGTGGGTGAGTGTAAGAGGGTGGGAGAATGAGAGTTGGAGAGAACGTGTTTGTGGAGATTGTTCTGTTCTGAAGAGTGAGCTTGAGTGAGTACGAGTGTGGCAAAGCGATAGAGAGTTAGTGAGACAGTGAGAGTGTGGCAGAGTGAGTGCCGTTTGTGTTTTCTAGATAAAGTGTGGCATGTGTGTGTGTAGGTCGTGTAGCTGTTTGTACGTCGTGTTTAAAGTCTCTAATTATTCCTCATTTTCGCACAACACATTTTATTTTGCGCAACAAATTTAACATTTCCCCCTCGCGTTGTGCCGTCTTTGATGTCCGCGTTCCAGCGGCGAGGACTTTAGTGAGGCCTGGCTGTCAGGCCTGGTATACACCTAGGCCGCAGGCTTCATATTTGTTCCTCCAAAGATTGATACATTTGAGAGAGAGACATAACATAGACACACAGGCAGACACAAGCAGAGAGAGAGACATAACATAGACACACAGGCAGACACAAGCAGAGAGATAAACATAACATAGACACACAGGCAGACACAAGCAGAGAGAGAGACATAACATAGACACACAGGCAGACACAAGCAGAGAGAGAGACATAACATAGACACACAAGCAGAGAGAGAGACATAACATAGACACACAGGCAGACACAAGCAGAGAGAGAGACATAACATAGACACACAGGCAGACACAAGCAGAGAGAGACATAACATAGACACACAGGCAGACACAAGCAGAGAGAGAGACATAACATAAACACACAGGCAGACACAAGCAAAGAGAGAGAGAGAGACATAACATAGACACACAGGCAGACACAAGCAGAGAGACATAACATAGACACACAGGCAGACACGCAGAGAGAGAGACATAACATAGACACACATGCAGACACAAGCAGAGAGAGACATAACATAGACACACATGCAGACACAAGCAGAGAGAGACATACCATAGACACACAGGCAGACACAAGCAGAGAGAGAGACATAACATAGACACACAGGCAGACACAGGCAGAGAGAGAGACATAACATAGACACACAGGCAGACACAAGCAGAGAGATGTTTTGTCTCAAATTTAGCAATCTTTGGAGGGACGTAATCAACCAGGTGAGGTGTTGACTGTTGTGTTGGCCGACTCGGTGTTGTATTGCATTATATTTCCAAGTTTACTATGTTTGTTTTCTCATTGATGTGTACCTGATGGCGGTTGCTTGTGCTGCAATCGAATCGTCGTATTTTATTATTTAATTCCTTTCTCCGTGACTTTACCGAAAGAAGCAAAGAATAATTCCTGCAGTCACGAAAGCTTCGAATCTAGTTTGGAATTATTAACTTGTGTTTCATGCATTGAATTTGAAGCGTATGAACAACATCTCATTGGCGTATTTACTTTATAATTTAAGCTGTTATTATTTACCTAAGTAGTTATGTTTAGGTGACTGAGGTGGTAGTAGTCAGTGTAATTTGAGTTACATGTCAATTATTGTGCAATGGATTTGTCTGTGTGCACCTAGCCTGGCACGGTTAATATGGGTTTATTTTATTGTTGATCAGTTTTTAAAGAGGTATCTTTTTGCGTCTGTTATGTGTGTCTGTTTCAGCTTACGTTTCTATGTGTGTAGCTGTGTGTGTCTGTTAGTTTATCATGGGTGATAATGGTTGGTGATGATGATGGGTGGTGTTGATGATGGTTGGTGATGGCGATGGGTGATTAAGGTGGGTTGTGATGATGATGGATGTTGATGATGATGGCTGGTGATGTGATGGATGGTGGTGATGATGGGTGGCGGTGATGTTGGGTGGTTAGTGATGATTAAGGGTCGTGTGATGATGGGTGGTGATGGGTGGTGGTGATGGGTGGGTAGTGATGGTGATGATGGTGCTGATGGTGTTGGATGGTCATGATCAGGGGTCGGCAACCTACGGCTCCGGAGCCGCATGCGGCTCTTTACGGGCTGCTTCTTGACGATATGTACGTATGTACAGTATGTACTCAGATGCATTGCGGCTCTTGAAATACTGAATTTTGTACCGAATTGGAAAGAAATGGCTCTTCTTGTTATTTTGGTTGCCGACCCCTGGTCATGATGATGGGTGATGATTGATGGGTGGTAGTAATTATGATGGGTGGTCATGATGTGGGGTGGTGATGATGCGTGATGGGTTGTGGTGATGATGGTTAATGATGGTGATCATGATGGTTGGTGGTGACGATTGGTGGTGATGATAATGGGTGTTGATAGTGATGGGTGGTGATGCTAATGGGTGGTGTTGATGATAGGTAGTTGTGGGTAATGATGATGATGGGTGTGGATGATGGTTGTTGATTATGATGGGTGGTGATGATGATGGGTGTTAATTATAATGGATGGTGATTATAATGTGTGGTGGTGATGATGATGGGTGGTGGTAAGGATGATGGGTGGTGGTAAGGATGGGTGGTGGTGGTAAGGATGGGTGATGATTGGTGATGATGATGATAATGGATGGTGATACTGATGGGTGTTGGTAATGTTGGGTGGTTGGTGGCGATGGTGGTGTTGATGAGTGGTGATAATGATGGATGGTGGTGATGATGATGGTTGGTGATGATGGGTGGTGGTGATGGGTATGGATGATGTTGATGATGTTTGATAATGGTGCTGACGGTGATGGATGGTGATGATAATTGGTGGTCATGATGATGGGTGATGATGGGTGGTGATAATGATGGGTGGAAGTGATTATGGTGGGGGGTGTTGGTGATGGCTTGTAGTGATGATGGTGTGTGGTGATGATGCGGGATGGTGATGATGATGATTATCCGTGAAGAAGATAGGTAGTGATGATGATCTGTAGTGGTGATCGGTGGTGATGATGATAATGGGTGGTGAATATCATGGGTGGTGAATATCATGGGTGGTAATGATGATGGGTGGTGGTTATGATGGGTGGGTGGTGATGATGGGTGATGAGGGTGATGATGGTGATGACGATGGGTGGTGGTGATGTTGGGTGGTTGGCGACTCGAACAGGTGAGCCTTCTTGTCTCGCAGTCTGTTAAAAGCTCTAACAGATGTGTAGAAACCCTCCCCGTAAAGGCGGTTCAATCTTGATTTGAAGCTTTCGTGACTGCAGTAATCCATACTCTTTGGTTCTTTCGGTAAAGTCACGTAGGTATAAAATAAAATAAATCGCGACGTTTCGGGCGCAACACAAGCGTCCGTCATCAGGTGGGAAAGCTGATTCCGCTTCAGCAATGATCTCATCGACAGGGATTGTACGTGGGGCAACAGCAAAGTTAAGACCTTTAGACAGGATTGAAACCATATTGCTGGATAATTCAACGTTAGTCATGTTGATAACCGTTTTGTTTATGAAATGTTCATTTTTAGTTGAGAGTTTGTTAGTTAGTTTATATATGTACGCGATCTAACCCAAAAAACCTCTTATGGTTGATTTAGTTTGTAAGACAAACGCCAAAGATAATGGAATGGTCACTGAGATGGTTACCGAAGACTCCCACTTGAACATTTACTGGGCCAATTTGTTCGGAGAATATCAAGCAGGGATGAAGAATATGAAAGTCACGTATAAAGATAAAATAATAAATTAAATAATAGCATACGATGTTTCTATTGCAACACAAGCAATCATCATCAGGTATAAATGAAATAGCAACAAAATCTAACCAGAAAACTATAGACAGACATATAAGCAGACAGATATCACCAAGATACATAGAGAGAGAGTAACACACAGGCACAGAGAGGGAGATCGTCTCTGTGGCGAGGCCTTTAATAGACAGGGGGGCGGGGGCGGAGAGAGGGAGGGGTTAGAGAAAAAATTAACATGTCAATGAGTACGGCGACGCGTGGTAAAGTACGCAAGCTTGAACATTAGGAGAGAGGGAGAAAGAACACACTAAATTAAATAACCTAGCAAAATATCGAAATGTTATGTAATACAACACAGAGAGTCGGTCAACACACAATTAACGCATAGCCTGGTCGATCACGTATTTCAAAGATTGCTAAGTTAGAATTTAAGTGTGAAAATTCCGTACTCATTGACATGTAATTTTTTTCTCTAACCCCTCCCTTTCTCCGCCCCCGCCCCCCTCTGTCTATTTAAGGCCTCGCCACAGAGACGATCTCCCTCTCTGTGCCTGTGTTACTCTCTCTCTATGTATCTTGGTGATATCTGTCTGCTTATATGTCTGTCTATAGTTTTCTGGTTAGATTTTTGTTGCTATTTCATTTATACCTGATGATGATTGCTTGTGTTGCAATCGAAACGTCGTATGCTATTATTTAATTTATTATTTTATCTTTATACGTGACTTTACCGAAAGAACCAAAGAGTACATTCCCATCAGTGAACTCCTCCGATGGGCAATGCTGCATTGGTTGTGTCATGTCACCCCGCATGCCCAGCCACCACATGCCCAGCCAGTTTCTGTTTCGCTGGATAGAGGGGACTAAACAGACGCGGTACGGCCTTGAGAAGAGATGGACTGTTGCAATATGGGAAGGATGCGGAGCTAAGTGGACTTGCTCAAGACTCGTAAATGTCATGAAGAACGCTATTGGGCAGTTGGAGGCAGTTACCCTCCAACAACAGAGGGCAGAAGAGCGACGCTCATGACAATG